GATAGTCACTATTAGAAGAATTATCTGTTAATGATGGCCACGGCAGAGACAAGGGTTGGGCATATTTTAATTCCTAATTGTAATTCTATTAATTTGACCCCTGACCGGAAATTATGCTGGAACTTTCCCACCCAATTATTATTATTGTTCCCTTGGGTTCCTAGTGAAACACAGGGCTTCAGCAACACGTCTCCACTTGTTTCTGTCTTCTGCTGTACTTTTCGCTTGCATCCATGTTAGTCCATACTGTTTCAACTCTTCTTCACACGATCTCCTCCATGTCACCCTTGCACCGACGAACCACTCGCCGCTTCCCTTTCGGGTTCCACTCGAGGGCCTGACGCGCGATGTCACACAGCGGCCTCCTCAGCGAGTGTCCAATCCATCTCCACTTTCCCCTGCATATTTGTTGGGCGACTGGTTCTTGGTTTGTTTGTTCCCATAGCTTCTTGCTGGTGATTCTTTCCGGCGGCCATCTGATCTTCAGTATAGAGCCAGCGAAGACAGTTGTTGATGAAGGTCTGCAACAGGCTGTTGGAAATATTCTTTGTGACCCGCCAAGTTTCTGATCCATACGTATAGAAGAACTGACTTGACGTTTGTATTGAAAATCTGAATTTTGTTGTTGATGCTGAGTGACGAAGATTTCCAGATTGGTTTCATGATGTGTGATGAATGTGTTTCTCGCCTTCCCGATTCTTGATTTGACATCCTCATCCGTTCCTCCCGTAGTTGAGACAATGCTCCCTAGATAAGTGAATGAAGTAACCGCTTTCAAATCCCTCCCGTTGATGGTGATTGGCGGTGAATGTTGCTGTTGTTGGTGGTGGTGGTTGGTTGGTTATTTTCATAACCTCCGTCTTGTCTATGTTCACCTGGATAAATACACGAATTTACAGCCTAGTTGATGAATTCGTCGAAAAGAAAATTTTCTTCACTGCAACTGTCTTTTTTACTATTCCCTATTTTCAAATATAATTAAATTGTGCGACTAACAGCTCAAATGAATATTTGCCATCCCTATCCCTATTAATGAAGAAAGAAATTTTATTAATTTTATTTCTTTATAAGTAAGAAGAATCAATAACGTATTATACCGTCGGCTGTGAGAAACAAATTCCTAAGCGGTTATCAGATCACATAGAAAATGTAAATTCACTTAATCTCAATAAGAATTAAAAATCCTCTATCACAGCATATTTTATCAAACTCTAGTGATAAAATAATTATCAATTATTGTTTCCCAATTATTTCACGTTATTAAGAAAGATAAAAGACCATCCAGCGGAGAAAACTTTCTTTATCGGCGGAATCATCTTCCTGGACAGTAAGTAGCATTTATATTTACCAAAAATGTATAATAGTCAATTATTGAGTAATAGGAGAGGGGGTGACATAAATGATATAATTACTCAGAAGTGGCTTGAAAAGTAAAAATAAAGGACAAAAGAAGAAAGCGTTAGAAATTTCATGAGGTTATAATTGTCATTGAAGGAGAATAAAGGTAGTTAAGTGTCCATCTAGTAGGTGTGAAGAGGGTGAGAAAATGTAAAAAATGGAACATATGAAAGTGATCATAGTGAATTAATTAAATAATAAAAGTAAAGGCAAACTAGTCATTAGAAATAAAAATAAAAATTTACAAGTAGCATTTAATGAAGAGGTTAAGACCATGGTAGAATGAGAGACTGGACAAACTTTTTCTGTATACAGAGTTAGCGGTTGTATTGACAAGTTGTCAACGCCTCTGTCATTTATAAATGCCGAAACTTAACACCTTTTGTACCATTTGGTTTCACCTTGTAGATGATCTTGAAAGATGACTCTGGTGGAGCTGCGTGGCTTGAGTTCACCAAGTGCTCGAGAATTGAGCTAGTAATTGTTTTGCATTACCCTTTTGTTAACCATGTCGGATAATGTTCAGAGATGTGTTTAGAAAGTGTACGCTTTGTGCGGCCAATACAACCAGTTCATCAGGAGCATGTGAATTTATAGATACACACTGAAGTGGCCCAAAGTAGCAATTTATCCTTTACACATCAATTGGTCATTTGTCGACTGTAGGAAGTGATCGGTAGCTGAGCCAAAAAGAAGGCTTTTCTCAGTGATCTAGATAAGCGGTTGTTCAGAATATCAATCGTGGTATCACCTTTAAATTCAACGTTCAAAAAATAGCAGTTTCTTCGGCACCGTCTGGGTTCTTTCAGGCTTTTGCTCTACCCTCATAATTTTACCAATGAATCTTACAGGATATTCATTTCCTATGAGGACTCTTCTGAGTTGCTACAGTTCATCATCGGTTGTATCACTGGTGCATATCAGTCTTATTCTCGAGGATAAGGAGTGGATCAGATTTCTCTTTCTTCTCAAAGGTATCCAACCAAGAAAATTCGTCTTTGACCATTTCATATTGGTTGTCTGTACAGCCTCTGGGAGATGATTTCGTCGATAAAAGAAATTGTCGTCACTGAATTTTATTTTATTTTCTTCATGACTCAATGTGTAATTCACGTAATTATAATTCATGATTACTAAACATGATTTAAGCACTTTGGACTAATCATATTCATCCTAAATTAAGTGAAAACACAAGTGGTTTTTAACCTTTGCCTACCTTGGACTACTTGATATATGAAAACACGACTGGTTAATATTTTGCCGTTTCGTTTCATATAACTAGTTTTCAAGTACCGTTTCGTAAGAATTTCATTGGTTAGGTCACTGGCTGACTTTTCTTGGAGGCTCCACATTAGGATGAAACAGCTGTCTATTGTTGCTTGGTTGATGATGGTTCTCTATCTGATGTGGGTTAAAGACGGAACCTTCTGAACTTACTGATTAGTTGTTAGACACCCTCCCAGTAACAGAAAGGTTCTCAGTGGAGCCATAGGTGCTTACTCTGAACTGTCTCAAACTATGACGAAATATAGCTGTCCAGTAGTTTTTGGTGTGGTCAAATGGTTGTCCTAAATGATATCAGTTAGTGATTAATCAAATCCCTGCAAAATCAATACTTCAACACCAAAATTCTACTCAGTGTAAGTACATTTATCTTTTATTTCGCTCGTTAAGCTGTTTTAATAGACTCACTCTAATTTCATTGAGTACACTGTCAACAGCAGATTATGTCAATCTTAACACTTCGTTACAGGATTTCATCATGATCTGACATTGGTTAGAGAACCATTGGAAAATCTGGGATTACTGGACAGCCGTTTCTTCCTAGTCTGGGACTCTTCATCAGTACGCACCCGCCAACAATGGTTCTAACCCAGGACCTTCTGGTTATAAGGCGAGCTCGTATACCATTAAGCCACTGGGACCCGATCCAATGGCTAATGAATTCTAACTTCTGCCAATTGACGATATAGCGCAACCGCTAGCCAATGTCCTCGGCGAGTATTTGTCCTCACACCCGACCTACTGGTCACGACTTAACACTATTCACAGTTTAATTTGCTACTATTAATCATTGTCCACATAGGATTTTAGTGATTTCTTTATGTCATTATTTCATTCTTTTACTAAGCATCCTTCAGTAAAGATGTCTTCTTTTTTCTCTCTCCATTTAATTTAATTTTATTTCTTTATTCAAAATAATATCAGGGTAGCGAAGCATGGAAGGTATACTTTAATCCATTAGGACAGGAAATTGTTGATGAATTCGCTATTCGTTATGGGATTGAACCAATTTTTCAGGCTATGACGTAAGTTGTGCTATATGTTATTTGTTATCTCCTCTTTCTTATTGAAATATTCTGGTAGAATAGAATCTTTCAATAAACAGCTGGTATCTATCTGTCTAGTGTTGTTGTTTTTTTTTTCAATTTTTTTATTTTTTATTTAAATGAATAACTCTCATTATTATTTGAGAACTATCATATGTTGAGATGGGATTATCACTGATCAGATTATAGAATTATTATTCCCTTATTATTTTACCCATAAGGCATTTGTTCTACTTCACTCAAAATCTCTTTAATCCTTTACAAAATACAAGTGGACCTGTTCACTTCTAATGTTGTGTATGCCTTGGGTTTATTTCTAGTCTGGTAGGATACACACTGAATGACTTAATCATTGAAAGTTAACCCAGTAGAGAAAGTCTGTAAATTTTGTTTTTTGATTTGATTTTCCTAAGTCTGGAACATGGAATTGCAGACACAGATCATTACACACTTACATTGAGTTTGATTTTACCTATCTATTGCATCTGAGGATTATATAGATGTCCGATTGATTTTATGCTTGCTTACTTTATGAACTAACTACCAAGAGCAGTAGACAGTTTCTTTAACGTGGACCTATAACGATGAAGTCTCTCGAGTTTAAAACACTACCAGTTCGATATCAGTTAGTTCGAAATACAGTAACCTGCTTTTTTTTGTGAATTCTGTAAGTTCATGTTACACGGCAGTTTATAACTCCACAAGATTCTTTCTCATCAGTTTTCCATCTAAAACACAGTTTTATGATGAATATCACATTTCGAAATTATGGAGGATGAGTCTAATGTACTTGTGTCTCCTAAGCTGAATAGTTTAACTACGAAGGTTTCATTGTCTTCCTAGATACCATCTTCAGCGTTAGTTTCAAGCTATTTGAAACTTTATGTTTTCACCACCAAAATATCTGTCCAAAATGACTTTCTGATAGCAGAGTAGGGACATAAACCTTCCCTTGCACTGCGAGTGCATTAATTAGCGTAAATCTTACTTCTATACTCATTTTGAGACGAATAAGACTACTCACACTATCAAGGATCAAGTAGAAATTATGGAAAACTCTAGAAAAATATACTATCAACTGAAGAAATCGTTTTCACCACCACCAGTAGGAACCTGGTTGTTGTTAGACACTAAACAATTTGTTCCATTTATGTGTGACTGATAAAGAATATTCTTATGAGTGCAGAAGCTCATTTAAAGTTTTTACATTAGTTGTGATCACAATTTGAGAGAATAGTTCCAAAATAATTGAGCGCCGAGTAAGAAGTAGATATATGTAAAAATTATATTTGTAAAATCTCAACAAAACTGAAACGAGTTATTCCAACGTTTCGTTCCGCAAACTGGTCCGTAATTCTTCAAGTAAATTAATGGAAATTAAAGTAACAAGTGATATCTCTTGTTTAAAAAATTTTTGGGTAGTCACATGAGTTATGAAACAGGCATCAAAATATGATAAACAAAATTGTATGAACTCTGCTCAAGATTTGACCTCAAACTTACAAATATTGGGGTAATTATTTCATTCAAAAGTGGAATGAACCAATTTTATTTCGCTGTTGATCTCTTCCCCAGCAATAACTAGACGTTTAGCTCTGTTAATCAGATTCTTGGCTAATGCTTCTTTGGTGGTACAGGGATGTACTGAATGGTAATCTCGGTATCTATCAGAACTGCTTGGCCTTCTGAAAATGTTTATTTCAAGTTAACCATCTATTTAATTCGCGCGAATCTACGAAATATAATTTTTTCTTAGTTATTGAAAGAATCAATACCACACTTTTTGAACAAAGGAAGAAGAAACATTGGTACAGAATAATCTGGATTCCGTTTATTTCGTTGGTTCTCATCAGCTGCGTACAGCCTGAATTTTTTAAATTAAAAAGTGTGCAATTTTAACAAACCTTTGTCCAATAGTAAGCATAGTGTCAGAGCGTCATAGTAAAATAAGGCATTGAGATTTACATGGTGTCTAAAGTGTCACGACATATATATATATCTTGGTAGAGAGAAGTTTTTTGAAAAAATTAGTTAACAGTTGTGTTGTTAAGGAGGCAACAGAAGACAATTAGCAATAGTTACGTAATTAGATAAGAGAAGATCAAAATTTTAAAATTACGGTGCACATGAGGTCAGATGAGAAGTTGATGATGTAATGCAGTGAGCAGAACTCAGAAGATCAAGAAAAATTATTTCTTAAGAGAGTCAAGCGAAACAAAAAGGAGGGGGTGGAGTGAAATGATAAGTTAACAAAATTAGAAAAAAAGAGTTACTAAGATGTGAGTTACCAGGGTAATTGAAGTTCAACAACGGATTCTTTTTGGACACATAAGTCAGGCTTCAATCATTTTATTGCTTTAGCTTCAGCAAACCTGAGAAGACTTGAGGTACTCTGTCTGTTAATTATTTTGAATGATTCCAGCACATCTACTCTGTGTCCTGTGTTAGTCAGATGTTTCGCGATTGAAGAGCTTAAACATTTCGGTCCCTTTAACCGGAGGCTCCTTGGTACATGTTCGCAGAATCTGACGTAGACCCTCCTCTCTGTTCTTCCAATGTAACTGCTCCCGCAGATACCTGTGAATTGGTATACACAGTTGGAGGTAACATGTTAGGGGTACTTGTCAATCTTTGACTGCACCAGTGACGAGGTTGTTCGGGTTAGAGAGACTAATAACGTTGCAGGATACTTCCTAGACAAGGCTGCGCTTAATCTTTTATTTATCACTCTCATAATGTCGTCGCCCTTGTAGTCGAGTATGATGAAAATAGGCTTCTTACTGAAATTCTTACTGACTACATTTTTGGCTGTTAAGATGAGGATTAAAATCCTAATGAGAACAGTAGTCAATTATGCCAATGTTTCTAATAACAATAATTAATTAATATGCTTATTATTCACATTTCTTGTAGACATTTTGCCTGTCTAACAGCCAAGTATAATTGCCCTGGTGTTCCTGCTCAATTATCTGTTCTGTTAGCCAACATAAATGCCTTTTATGCGCATACAACATCATCAAACAGTCAAACAGCCAGTGAACGTTTCAGTGCTAGCAATTTTGGAGTACGTTGACTGTTTTAGTGAATTTGTTTCACTTTATAATTAATACACACGTTATTATCATGAGCTGACATCAGTTAGAGAACCAGTGAAAAACCTGCAGGTAGTACTGGACAGCTGATTCGTCCTAGTTCCGAACTCTTCGGCAGTACGCAACCATCAGGGTTCGAACCCAGGACTTTCCGGTTACAAGGCGAGCTCGTATACCATTGAGCCACTGGGTTCTGATCAAATGGCCCATGAATTCTAACTTCTGCCAATACAAACCAATACTTGAATACTAATTAATTTTCTTTAACAAAATCTAACAGAGATTTACAATATTCACTAACATCTCGTTTCTGTTGACAAGTATGAAAGTGTATTCGCCTTCTTGACATAACTCAAGAAACAAATTCTTTGACGCTAAGTAAGTCTGTTAACATGACAGTGTGATTGTGAAGCTCAAGAGATACAGCTGCCCGACCGTGTTACATATTACTATTATTATCTACCCCTTGGGTTCTGAGTATTATCATTTATTATTCATTTATTGTATTCCTTTGCATTCCCAGAGGAACATACGGCTTCGAGCTAGAGGTTTGAGGTTTAGGTAGCAGTGTTTTCTTTTTTTGTGGGATGGGATTGCTAGTCTCACGCCCAACCTCCCCTCTTTGCCAGGCTTATTACAGAGGTAAAGGAGTGAGTGGATGGCTGGGAATCGAACCCCGGACCACAAGCGTGGTTGGCGAGCATTCTACCGCTGGGCCACCGACGCACACATGAGCTCTGAGTGGTGTATATATTTAGGGTTTAAGCAACACATCGCCATTTCACTCTGTTTTTAGCAGTGTCTTCTCTCTGGCACACCTTCAGCCTATTAGCTTTCATGCTGTCCTCACAACGTCTATGCACTATTCGTTGTTTCGCATTCGAGTACCACTCAATGACCTGATGTGTAATGTCTTCTGAACATCTCCACAGACTATGTCCAATCCATCTGTATTTTCTTCAGTATATTTGTTGGGCAGCAGGTTCTTGGTTGATTCTTCATCAGAGTTCCCTGTTTACTATCTTTTCTGGTTATCTGATCTTCAGCGTGGAATGAAGACAGCTCTTGTTAACGGAAGCCTTTGACTAACATCGAGACATTATAGGGTTGTACTTGACAGAAACAACTTGACCATCAGGATTCGGAAATCTTGAAGGAAACGGGATGAATATTTCACTCATTTAGATTTCTTCTGCTGAAGCGTATTCACCTTGAGTTGAGAATGTTTAGTTGTCATTTTATAAAAGCTTACGGCTCAGATTTATGCATGCACAGTCAACACTGTGAAGTTTCTGTGTGAGTCCTTTTATTTTAATTATTCTTTAATGATAAATGTTTAACTGCTAAATCTATCTGGATACGCGAAAGCACCTGAATAAAATAAGCTTTTCAGCATAAATGGGAGAAACCTGAAAGAAACAGCCTCCTTTACCTACCTACCTACCTGCGAAGCATCGTTTCAATTACAGGCGGAACTGACGAGGATATCAAAGCAAGGATCGGAAAAGCAAGACAACCTTTCATTACTCTCAAGTCTGTTTGGAGGTCAGCAACACTCAGCATCAAAAATAAGGTCCGGATTTTCAACTCCAGTGTGAAGTCAGTGCTACTATACGGGTCAGAGACTTGGCGCGTCATAAAGAGCACCTCAAACAGACTACAAACCTTCAACAACAGCTAGCTGTCTTCGCTCAATACTCAAGATCAGATGGCCGGCCAGAAAACATCAGCAACAGGGATCTCTAGGAGCGAACCAACCCAGCAGGAATCGATTGTGAAACAAATAGGCAGGGAAAAATGGAGATGGATTGGTCATACTCTGAGGAAACCATCAAGTGACATCACTGGACAAACCATTGCTCGAGTGGAACCCTAAAGGGAAGCGGCGAGTTGGTCGTCAGTGCAAGGGTGACTTGGAGGAGGTCATGTGAAGAGGAGATGAAAACGTGTGGGCAGACTTGGAGCCAGGTGAAAACTCTAGCAGAGAAACGAACGCAATGGAGACGCACGGCTGAAGCCCTATGTTCCTCTAGGAATTAAAGGAAATAATAATAATTCAGCTACCATGACATAAAAATACATCAAGATTAGTAGCTCAAGTTGGGATTACTAGTCAAGCGTCCAATTCCGTGAGTAACACTTTCTTTATAACAATTGTTAGTGTTTCGTAACAGTATGCGCAGTAGTGATTAAAATGCAACCATTAAAGTGGTTACATCACACTAATCGTAATGATCGGAAGAATTTATTTCATCATGTCTTTTTGCATATCTACTCTCATATAAATAAAAAAAATTTACCTAAAGAGGCGAAGTTCAACAATAGCGTCCCAGAAGTGCGAATGCTGCCGTTGGCTACAAGGCACCTGTCATTATCATAGCTGAAATATCAACGCTATTCACCAGCTTAGGAGGAAATTTCACCCAGATTACGTTTTTAAGTACTGTTTGGACAGTGTATTAATAGCTCGTTAGGGTTAGTGTTAAGGTAAGTATTGGGGTTAGGGTAAGGATCAGGGTTACAATTACTATTAGGGTTAGGTCTATGGTTAGGATAAGGATTGTAATTAGGGTTACGATTAGGTTTAGCGTTATGATTATGGATAGATTTAGAGTTGATGACATTTATTTCAATTTATTTTCTTATCCACATTTTCCTGGTAGGTAGTCGTCGATCCTCTTACTGAAAACCATAAAAATTCAACAAAGGGCTTTTGCTGAAGACTGCACAGCAGGATGAGAGAGATAAAGGATTCACATAAACAGCTCATCTGTAGTCATCTCAGTGAATACATGTACAGAAACTAGTCGAACTTAGCAGCTGATACTCTTCACCATAACTAGGAAGTATTTTTAAGTCATATCAGATAAAGATAACATTGTTTAATGTGTTTTCAAGCATTTTCTTGTCAATATACATCAGGTTTTGTGCAAAAAATTCCTCGTTTTTTGATTGGTCGGCTGAAGGTCACTCGTGCATTTGCATCCTTGGGACGCTATTGTTGAACTTTTCCCCCAAAGGGTCGCATTTTTACGGTTTGCCAGTAAAAGTCCATTTCACCAGTACTAATGAATCTGTATTCTTCTTAATAACAACGACTGAAGGTTGAAGTAAAAGCCAAAGAAAAGTTGATATGCATTACGTCCGTATAGAAAGAAGGGATACAAATGTATAGAAAATTTCCCCATGGCTGTATTTCACTTCTGAAATTTGCTCAATTCTCATAAAAGCTAATTTAAAGTAATCCGTATATAGGTAAATTGCTTAAGCAAAAAATGTCATACAATAGGAGAGGAGATTTGTAACTCTACATGTGAAGATTTCGCTTCTGTGACTTGAAACTACGCATAATATTCAGTTTTCAATTGGGTGTCGTTTTTCACTTTACGCTGGCGTCGATTATCTTTTAGGAATGACCAGCTTAGTTGAATAGTCCCATAAGTGATGTAATCAGTTGCTAGTGTGCATAGCTTTAAAAAACTCCAGTGTAAAACAGCCAAGTCTCATTGTCATTTTCCTCTCGGAGACAACAGCATTTAACATGTGTCTATAATTCGGTGTATTAATATCTCTGGTTTTCACCAAGGGTTTATTTTACCACGGTTATCTGCGCTTGTATGTGTGGTTTACTGCCACAGTCTCTTGGTACGAACTATTGATCAACAAATAGGCAGACAGAAATGGAGAAGGAATGAACATAATACTCTGAGGAGGCATTTTAGCGATATCACACTCCTAACCTTCGGTTGGAACCTGAATGACAAGTAACCAGGTCGATATAAGTTTGTGGGTTACATGGAGTAGACTATGGAAGGAAGAGAAAGAAATGGAAGCCTTTGGGCAGTTGTGGATCCAACTGACAATGATTTTACAGAACTGAAAGCGGAACACATGTAGTGAATAATAGATTATGTATCTATATATATGTTATCTACATCACCTCTGTTTGATGCTATTTAATCCGCTGAGTTACTTATTGCTTTCATTTGTTTTTGTTTGTTTGTTTTTTTCTCTTATTTCTAATTTGAAATTATGAATTAATTTAGCGTGAGAAATTTATTAAACTGTTGGACAATTTATACATTGCTATAAGGATTGACCTATCAAAATATCGGGTAAGTATAAATATGTATGTCTATAGCTAAATTATAATACTACTAGTGGTTGACCGCGTTATGAGTATATATATATATATATATATATATATATATATATATATATATCAATAATTCATTTATTCACATAAACTATTAATTATTACCATCTATTGCTATTGGCATTAAAAAAGGACAATGAGCTGAGATAGACAAACAGGTGGATAATTAGATGGACAAACACATACTAACAACAGATAGAGAAGGAGGCAGGGAGAAAGCTAGGTGGTATAGGGAGAAACAGTTGGCGTGCATTACCAAAAACCTGAATTTAAGCTGTACGTATGTACGTACATATATAATGCGCAGCTATATATAAATAAGCAGTTTTATTTGGAGTAAATCTCATATATTCAATAAATTATTTATTCACATTAATTATTCTACTTTTTCGTGGTTCTAAGATCACAGACTCTTTCTTTGATCTGTGTATAAATATATATTTAACCTTGTATATTTCGCTAGTAACTTGGATAGTTTATTAGATATATGAAGGTACTAAGTCATTGCTGTACTAAGAATGCCAGTCGGTTTTAAGTGTTATCTTCAGTTTTAGCCGTTTCAGTTCAAGATCGATTCCTGGTCAACAGACACTAGAATAACCTCATTTAGACGGTAGTACACCCAGTAAAGACAGAAGATAGGGCACGAGGCTAGCAACCTCACTCCGTAAAAAGAAAAAATCAACACCACTGCTACTGGAACTTTAAATCTCAAAAAAGAACAAATCAATTTTTGGGTGATGTGTTATTTTTGGATAAATAGCTTCTTTGTTTTCAAAGTTTGATCCTTTTTCATCTTGTTGTGTCCTTGTTTCCAAATAACTATTCATTGATATTCAAATATTGGTTTGTAGGGATTTGATTGATTGGTTACAAGATTTCATCATAAGGCTGACATCGACTGGAGGAGAGTCATTGGAAAACCTGCAGGAAGTACTGGACAGCCAGCTGTTTTTTCCTAGTTCCTTTTTGACTCTTCAACGGTACGTACCCATCACAGGGGTTCGAACCTAGGACTCTCTTGTTACAAGGCGAGCTCGTAGACCATTAGGCCACTGGAACCCGATTCAATGACCCTCACGACATAGCTAGACCGCCAGCCAATGTCTTCGGCGAGTATTTGTTCTCACAGCCGATCTGCTGCATTCTACTGGTCACGACTTCCCATTAGTACCCCAGTAACTACCTATCTGAATAGGTCCAGTCGCCAGTAAGCATCTCATCGATATTCGAGTATTGGTTTGTGGGGATTTGACCGAAGATATTGGCCAGCGGTCGCGCTATGTCATGAATTGTCAGAAGTCATTGGACTGGGCCCCAGTGGCTTAATGGTCTGTGAGCTTGCCTTGCAAATGGAAGGTGCTGGGCTGGAACCCTCTTTTTGGTGAATGCGTACTGCTGAAGAGTCACAAGAGCCTAGGACGAAACAGCTATCCAGTACTCCCTGCAGGTTTTCCAACGGTTGTCTAACCGACGTCAGCTCATGATGAAATCCTCTAACTATTCATCACTTAACTAACTGGGTATCCACTTCTTCTTCATCGATTGTTATTTCTCATATACTCTGATTTGTCTGTTACGAACTAATAATAAGATCTGAACTCTGCTGTTATGTAACATTAAACGTATAAGCGCCTAAATACCTGTACAGCTGTCAAGAGAAGTTGAGTTAAAAAAGGTCTCTGTGTTGACTTAAGTAGCATTTTAATGAATGTTATTGCATTCCAGAAATGACTAAACATTCCTCGCCTCAAAATCTTGCAAAATATAAGAGAAGAAATTGTTTCAACAAATAGTTCTCTTGCTTACAATTCATTTTATTTCTCATTATTAGTTTAATGACCAGTCGATTTTGTCTAATTGACATCACCGGTCAGTTTAGTGGATTTAAAGTTATTTTGAAGTTAGCCTTGAAGACATTGTCTGTGAATTGTAGTGAAAGCTTTACCACAGTGCACAGAAGATGATAACATTATAAAGAATACACACTAACTATAAATCTGTATTACTTCAATACTAAGAAGGTTCAGTAGACAGATTTCGGCGGGTTGGTTTCATTCTTCTGGTAGACTGTAACCAATGAAGTCAACTTCACTGACTAATTCCAGTTAGTGAAAACCAACAGGGTTTCATTGTTTCAGACAGACATAAAGACGATGACCATTATTGAGAATAGGAGGCGAAAAATGACACAAGATAATGGTATACAATAATAAAAATGTATCAAAATGTTCAGATCTCATGTTGAGGATAAAAAAGATGTTAACAAGGCTCTCAAATTCATCTACACTATATCGAATAGGCTTAATTTTACCTCAATAGTTCGGCTATTCTCTATTGCTGAGGCTGTTAGAACCCATATTAAGAAGTCTGATTTATGTAGCCAAAAGAGGTTACTTCAGACACTGTCCATACCTTGGCTACCAAAATTGTAATGATCCTTGAGTTGTCGTACAAATGTGCTTAATTTAATTTGATAATCTATTTCATATTATATTTTTATGTTTATTGTAACTTCTGAATTTCTCTTGATCTGTATTTTCAATCGTCTTCACAAAATGATATAATTCAAAAACAAAACCGATATTGTTAATTTAAATTAATTAGTTCCCTTTTATGAATTTAAACAAAACAAAAAGAATGTACTTGCGGACACACATACACAGGAAGGACTCATCGATCTCTGCAAGTAAGGGCTGACTTCAGAAAATATTCGTAAATGGTTCCAGGAGCAAATAGAATCCCCAGGACCCATTAATGGTGAGAACAGTCGGCCACCTAGCTCCTCTATTGCAGAACATATTATAGAGATAGGACATAAAATTGGTATTTACACGTCTTTTAAACCTATCTACAAAACGTGTTTGGGGGAGGGCGTATCATAAAGTTTGCGGAAGCCCTAGCTAGAAAGTTTAAACCGCCTTTATGCGTTCATCAAAAACAATTCGTCATCATCCCACCAAACCTTCTTTGGTAAATTTCTTTGTTTTGATACCAGCCAGAGTAGATGTACTATTACCTCTGTTATTTGGCTCAGTGATCTTCATTGTTATTTTTACCTTCAATATATCCTTTTAACTTCACCTAAGTCTATTTTCTCACCTCTTAACTCTTCATTAATTTCATACGTGTGTATTCCTATGACAAGTCTGTGTGGGTGTGATCAAATTGTTCGAAATGTGTTGCGCAAATACAACATTACACGATTCAGACAAATTACGTCTTCTTATTGCTTTGTCTAGATATTGTTAATGGCGATTATTCTAAAATATTTTGTATATGTATGTGTAGCGACAGAAGGCAAGAGTCATGCAACAGATCGTTTATTGAGAAAATCAATAGTTATTTATATATTTTTATGTACATTATTATTCGCTATTATTACCAGACAAACAACATCTTCTGATGGGTTGTTTTCTCGCTGAGAGTTATTCTGTCTTCTCTTTTTGATCGTTTCTTTGATAGTCAGACCATATATCTGCGAATCATACCCGCCCACGCAAAGTCTGCTGTGACTGGTTGTTGAGTTCCTCAAGGTTAGGCTTTGTTCTTGTCTCCTCTCCTGACCCCAACTCGGGATGTAAACACTGACGTATATTGTTGCATACAATTTTGTCTCGCAGACAGCTCTCACCATATATATATATAATTGTGAAGCCGAAAAAGGAATTTACTGAGAAGAATATTCTTTACTGGGATTTTCTTTTGTCTTCTAAATGATGATCTGTTTGATACGCGTAGGAATCGAGCATAGATCTATACAAATAGATCAAGTGAATGTATGCTGATAGTTTTCTCTACGTTTACAAACTCAATAAATGCATTAGCTCATATTTATTCTCATGTCTTTTAAGCCTTCACTGAGAATCCCACTCACCGTACACTAACGGTTTTATATAAAATGATGGACAGTTTCTATCTAGATCATATATTCAATTTATATGCATAGGATGTAGGTTACAAATACTACATTCTTAAATTATACTGCCTAACACATTCTATAAACGGTGTAGTAAACAGTTTCTTCAATGTTATCTCGCTTTTCAACACTAATGGGCCTAAAATATGAGTGAAATTGCCACCGAATGTGTTTTCAGATCTTCAGAGATTTCTTCATTAGTGACTTATTTTTAGTCATTAATGTAAGTGTAGAACTTGGACACTGTGGTAGAACGTAATTCCATATTAGATAAGTTTATTTGAAATATCACACACAGTGATGATGCAGTATTAACAACTGCATGACAAGGTTTTGAGCATAACTTATTGCCACTCATTATCACATTGCCAACAAAGTGAGTTTGCCATGCTAGACTGTAGAATAAAACCAAAACAGGATGGTGGGTTAGATACTAGCTAGCATTTATGGGAAACCAACACACTGTAATAAATACTTAGACTTTGATTTATCCCATACAGAATTGGTAAAGATCGGGTTTAGTTAAATATCTGTATAATTGGGCTAAGAACCTAACTAGTAGGCCAGAAGATTTAAATAATGAAATCAAACAAATAAAGGAAATACTACTACTGAATTACTACCCACCAGAATTTATTCAAAGACATGTGAAGAACCTTAGAAAAACTAAGATTAGCAATAAAAATGATGAAATTTTTGATTGAACACTAGTCAGTAATTAGTGTAATGTGTCTAGTCCTATTTCTCGTGAAGAATGAATTCTATCAGTCAAGTTTGCCATATGGCTATATAGCCATCATGCTAGGTGACTCGTCATCACAGTGCACTGTGAATTGCTTGCATACAACGGCTGGAGACGATCAGCCACAAGAAGCCTTGCTCGACCTAGGTTTCGTGCTTGTTGACACTAACCAGTCAGCGAGGCATATCTGCAACCTCGAAGGAACTCCTGTCCCTTCTGAGATTCGAACTCTTGTCACACAGTGCTGCTTGTAGTCAGAGGCGTTACCACTGAGCTATTCGGGCCCACGACTGATCTC